CCTCGCCTTTCTCCGCCCCCCGGGGGGGGGGAGCCCCTGCGCCTGGTATCCAGCAGGCGCTTGTACACGTACGTGTAGCGAACTGCGGTTGTGAGCATTTTTAGCGGCTCAGTCCCACTGTGCTCTCTCCAAACCCAGTGTTTCTTTCCTCGTGGCCGTTCGATCCCCTGCCTCAGTACCTTGCCGTGATTCAGGAGTTATGGAATCAGAATGTGGGTTTTAACAGCTTCCCAAGTGATTGGCCAACTTCTGAGAATGATCGTGTATTTGTTCACCAGATCATTGTTAGTCTGTTGGGGGCCGTATGTTTTTCTGGCAGTGAAAACCCTGCATGCTTTTTATCATCCCTTTTTATCCTTTTTGCACGTTTTTTTTATAACTTTTTGGGGACATTTGTAATCATTCCTTGTATGCTGTACCTGATTTATCTTCCAAGATAGGGAGTTCCAGATACTGTTCTAGGCAATGGAGGAGACACGCAATGGACAAAAACAGACAAAAGTCTCTTGCTCTTTTGGAGCATGTGTACCAGTGGCAGAAAAAGAAGATAAAGTAAAATGCAAATATGTCAGTGATGTGTGCTGAAGAGGAAAAAAAAGAAAGCATTTTAGGGAAAGGAAGATGAGTGTGTGTAGAGGCCGGGGAACTTTTACATAGCATGACCAAGCAAAGCCTCAATGAGAATACTCCGTTTGGTAAATGAATGCCCACCTCGCAAGTGGCCAGTGTCAATTGACTGTCAGTATTTCCTTTGGGTGCTTATGAGGGAAGCTGCAGAAATCTCGTTGGCAGATAGAGAACTGTTAATGGAAAACTGCTGGCCTTTGGGACAGTTGCATAGTCAAGAAAAAATATTTCAAGAAAAAGGAACAGTCTATGTGAGGCTCATAACAGACGAGCAAGAAAATATTTGGATATGGCTATTAGTGGTTTTGGGGAAAGTTCACGCTCAACTTCTGGGAGTATTCTGTGGTGTAGATTTAGATCTGATAGTCTAGTGTAAATTTTCTTAAGGTAGGGGGTCAAGAATGGTTATGAACGATGGAGAAGAGGTATGTCTAAGAATGTGAAATGCCCATTAGTTATGGTATTCAATCACGTGATTTTTGATGTTAGTCTGCCTCTGGCCCCATGATTTCTGTAGTTCTGGGATTTTTGCAACTCCTTTCCTCCTCTGTCAACTTTTGTTGTTCCCATCTTAATTGGTCCTCTCCTTTCAGCATGTCAGCTTTCGCTCCTTGACTGTTTGTCCTACCTGCCTGTCCAGCATATGGTGCCATTCTCTCATCTCTGCATTTTCTGTTCTGCCTCCAGCATTTGCTGTGGTAGTATTCTGTCCCATTGTTCCATCAGAGGGCCTGCAAAGCATTCTACAAGACCTCTAACTGTAAGGTGTGTGCGTCTGCTGAAAAACTCAGTGCTTGAGGGCATTTTGTTTTCTCTAGGTTCAAGTACAGGAAGACTCAGGTGACTTGGAAGTGGAGAATGAAGCAAAAGATAATTTTCTATTCCAAAAGAAGCCAGTTTGGGTGGATGAAGAAGATGAAGATGATGAAATGTAGGTTGCCTAATTTTTCTTCCAGAAATCCTCTGGATATTTAAAAAATTATTTTGTAAGTTTTAAAGAAGTTGTCTTTACAAACACGTGATTACGTGAAGATTTAAAAAATACTGTAAAGCAGAAGAGAGAAGAGGGCATTCATAAACCCACCACCGAGGGAGAACCGATGTTAACATGTTGGCCCTCTTCTCTTGTGTGCAGTATCGAATAGCAAAGAAAGCATAGTGTTCGGTGTCACATTTGAGTTTGCCTTTTAATTTGGCCAGTTCCTAAGTGACCAAGGGCAAGTTTGGAACCTCCCTTTTCTCTTTCGAATGGAGGTAATAATAGTAATATCAGAAGGCTCTTGAGATTAAGTGAAATAATGTATGTGGAGCTCTTAGCACAATGTCTGAAACTGAGAAAAGGCTAGAAAAAAGCCTAGCACACTCAATATTATACTTGTAAGAGATGAGAATGTATTGTCTTGCAAGCATTTATCTCCACTTAAAAATAAAAACCTTTATAAACGTTTTTAAGTGGTTGTATTATAGTCTACTATGTGAATTAACTATAATTTATATAGGTATCATTAGACAGGTTTTCCTATTTTTCCCTTTGATAAGTTGATATTGAGACAAATATTTTTCTGCATAAACCTTTTTTCCTTTCTAATTATTTCTGTAAGAAAAACTTTCTGTGGTAGAATTACTTAATCAAAGGGCATAGGCATGTGTAAGATTCTTGATAAAAACTGCCAGACTGACCAAGAGGTTCTCCCAGTTTACCTTTCCAATTGAAAGGTGTCCATTTCACTCCATTCTTATAAACAACGCTTTATCTTTTTTTCAGACTTTGTCAGTTTAATGGGTGGGAAATAACTATTTAATTGGTGTGATTTTTGTCATTACTCATTGGTATTCTTTCAGAGCATTCTCTATTACGTGTTTATCTTTTTTAAAAAATTAATGTGTATTTGATATTCTGTACCTTACAAATCTTGACTTATATTTGATTAAATGTGTTCTCAGATTTTTAAAGGCAACAACTAGCTACGACGAATCTTTTAAAGTCATTTAAAGCATACTGTTTTGTTTTTAATAGGGTTGACATGATGAGCAACCGGTTTCGGAAAGATATGATGAAAAATGCCAGTGAAAGTAAACTTTCAAAAGACAAGCTTCAAAAGAGACTTAAGGAAGAGTAAGTGTCCTTTTCCATGTGATTTACCAAGCTGTAACTTATAATCAGTGGTTTATTTAGATTCACTGAGTCTTTGGCTGTAACAGTTTCTTAGGTAGTGAGATTTCCATTTTGAAGTAGTAAGAGTGTTGCTACTGGAAGAAATGGTGTAAGTTTTAGTATTTTGGAGGGAGAGGGAATACAAGTACAAAAAAATTTTGGAAAATCTGGTAATCCTACCACCCACACATAATCAGTGATGATATTGCTTACTTGCTTGTCTATTTGTATATGGTAAACCATTTCTTTTCCATAACTTCTAGGCTCTTTTAGTTGAACAGAGCTGGGAAATGTATGTATTTTTTAAAATAATGACTTCATGGGGTGCCTAGGTGGCTTAGTCGTTATATATATCACCTTTATTCATCAATCGATGGACACTTGGGCTCTTTGCATAGTTTGGCTATTGATGATAATGTTGCTATAAATAAACATCAGCATGCATGTACCCCTTCAAATCTGTATTTTTGTATACTTTGGGTAAATACCTAGTAGTACAATTGCTGGATCATAAGGTAGCTCTATTTTTAACTTTTTGAGGAACCTCCATACTGTTTCCCAGAGTGGCTGCACCAGTTTGCATTCCCACCAACAGTGTAGGAGGGTTCCCCTTTCTCCACATCCTTGTCAGCATCTGTTGTTTTCTCTGTTGTTAATTTTAGACATTCTGACAGGTGTGAGATGGTATCTCATCATGGTTTTTATTTGTATTTTCCTGATAATGAGTGATGTTGAGCATTTTTTCATTTGTATTGGCTAGTTCAAAGTCCTTGTATCCTATTTCTGTCATGTCTGTCATTTCTGTGTCTTTCTCTTGACTGATTTTTGTTCTGGTTATGGTTCATGTTTTTCTGCTTCTCTGCATGTCTAGAAATTTTGATTGGATTTTGGGGCAATGTGAATATTAAGTTGATCAATGTCTGGATTTTGATTTTTGCTTTTAATGAGTGTTGAATGAGTGAATATTGAATGAGTGAGTACTTTTAATGAGTTTGTCTTGGCAGGTGTTTGATTGGCTTAGAGATTAGTTTGATCCTTTTAGGATTTGTTCTTAGTTTTGCTGTAGAGTAGCATTTGCTATAGGCTGGTTTAGCCCCATTTCTAAGATATGCCCTTTTTGCCATCTCTACTGAATGCTCTGAGTTTCCAACCTTCGCTTGCTGGTTGGAACTCAAGTGTCTCAACTCTGGTGTGCAACTTATGGCTCCCTTGTAGTTCTTTGCCTGACCTCATGGAGTTTCATCCTCTGAATGTGCAGCTTAGTATTCAGCAAAAATGTCTGTGGACCCCAGTGCAGATTTTTGGAGCTTTTTTGTTTTAAGTAGGCTCCACGCCCAGCATGGAGCCCAACACGGGGCTTGAACTCACGACCCTGAGCTGAGCCAAGGGGCGCCTGGGTGGCTCAGTCAGTTGGGCGTCTGCCTTTGACTCAGGTCATGATCTCGGAGTCCTGGGATCGAGCCCTGTGTCAGGCTTTCTGCTTGGTGGGGAGTCTACTTCTCCCTCTCCCTCTGTGCTCTCCCTCTCTCTCAAATAAATAAAATCTTTAAAAAAAAAGAAGCTGAGCCACGATCAAGAGTCGGGTGCTTGACTGAGCCACCCAGGTGCCCCCCATTTTTTTAAAATTTATTTTTATTTTTTATTCACTTATATTTTAATAAGGCAAATCCTTTAAAAAATTTTTTTTTTAATTTTTAAGTAGGCTATACACCCAGCATGGAGCCGTAATGTGGGGCTTGAACTCACAACCATGAAATCAAGAGTCAGTCACCCAACCAACTGAGCCACCCAGGCGCCTGGAGCTCTTTCTTTT